TAACCCCGGGTCTTTTGAACATTAAACCTGTGTCCTTGCTCTCCATGTAGGAGCCGAGATCCATCACCTTGGAACACTAGCACAAAACTGAGGACTCAAGGAGTAGGGTGGGGTTATAGGTGAGGTGCCCAAGGTACATGTCCACAAAAGCTTTGCAAGTGTCCAATCACCGGAAGGAGTGATCCTATAACCCAGGGTCTTTGAACATTCAACCTGTGTCCTTGCTCTCCATGAAGGAGAAGAGATCCATCACCTTGGAACACTAGCAAAAAACGGAGGACTCAAGGAGTAAGATGGGGTTATAGGGGAGGCACCAAGAGGGAGAAGAGATCCATTACCTTAGAACACTCATGAAAAACCGAGGTCTCAAGGAGTAAGGTGGGGTTATAGGGGAGGCACCAAGGTATGTGTCCTCAAAAGCTTTCCCAGTGTCCAATCACCTGAGGGGTACAAGCCTACAACCCAGGGTCTATGAACGCCCAACGCGCCCTGCATTGTACTTTTTACATTTCCTCCGAAAGTCACCTTCATTTTACTCTCCAAAGCACATTTGTTCCATTGTAATTATTTTGTATTTTTTTGACTACAATCATCAGCAAATGTATGTACTTTACAAGCGCAAGCATCAGCCATTATTTTAGATAATGGGAATGTAGTGTTTATAAAAGGAAGGTGGGGGGGCGGGGGGGCTAATGGCCTCATAGACTAATGGATTCTGGAAGATTAATGTAAAAACAAGCGAGATAACGGCCGACTCCAGAGAGTTTCTTGTCTTAACAAATAGCTGACATGGAAGCCAAGCGCTGAACATCCCAAAATGTTTGCTTTCTCAGCTAATAAATATTACGGTAACACTCATTGGCTGACGAAGTTCGAATAAATATTTCTTCATACAACAACCTCATTCAGACATTGTAATAAATTACTTTTTAAGCATCAGCGCTGCAGCCGCGGTAATTGGAAATTTGGACTACATCTGACTTTCTGTACTTTCATGTCTGGAAATAGACGATGCACTCAATGTTTCTTTTTTTCTCTTTTTTTCCCCCCTTCGTGGCGACATCCATCATTGTGTGAAAGCGATATCATTTGGACCAGAGAATCCTGTAAAGAGGAGGGGCTAATGGTTTTCTGTGTATTTTGTCCTTATTAGGTGCACAACTGAATAAAATACAAGTTTTAACAAATATGTTTTCATTTTCTGTTAGTCGGGCGAAATTAAAACTAAATGAATTAACCTCCTCGGCGGTCTGATTATTTCAGATTTTTGGTGCTGAAAGAGGTACCATTTTTTTGCATGGAAATATATAGTTTTTTTTTATTGTAGGCTGTAATTTTTAGGAATAACTCCCTGAAATCTGTCCGGACAACAGTCTAGTAAACATCCCGGGGAGGATAAAACTTGAAACACGAAATCATAAATTATAATTTAATAAATAATCATAAAAAAATAATAATATAATAATAATACATTTAATTCAATAATATAATCAAACCAAAAACACTGAAATGTGAAATAGAGCGCCAAGTTGGCCCATCGCTGAGCTCAGTCGCAGAATCGTTTTCAGTGTCTGATGAGGAATTTCCCCCACCAATCATTATCACTCAATCCTGCAAGTGGTTCAGATTTACTATCGCTGTTCTCTAGCCGGTCTAAAACCACGTCTGACCTAAAGGGACGCTTTTTGGACGCCATGGACTTTTCTAAGTTTCCAGGCAGAAAGGGCGGTAAAAATGCAGACAGGGGACAGGGCAAAGCACTCGGGACAAAATGTATGTGAAATGCTTTGAAACAGCAATGTTTTACTTTGTAATAATCGTTTACAAAAAAATTACATTTTTTAAAACTTTCAAATTTGCCGCCGGTTCCAGCCCCCGTATGTCCCGATGTCACAGGGACCGGAACACGGAAGCCAGATGTCAGCATCAGCCGGAGGAGATGGCCGGGTAACGCTGCAGGAGGGACATCGCGAGAGCGAAGGACAAGGTAAGCGCTTCAGGGAATCCCCGAGCAACACCGCATGGTAAGCCCGAGTGTAGCTGGGGGGGGGTTTACCACTTTTGGTACTGAAATTTTACCCCGAGCTACACTTGGGAAAACCGCCAGGGGGGTTAAATAAATGATATATCGCATTAAAAAAAATGAGTTCCTAGTTGCAGTTTCAGCCGAAAGAAAGGCAGCACTCTAGGCTCCTGCTCTGGTGGAACTACACTTAAAAAGGCCCACGGCTTTGCCCTCTCCCCCCAGCATGAAATATTTATTGTTTAAATGTATTTATTTCAGGTACTTTTATAGCTCCGTCAATGTATGCAGCACTTTACATATATATTGTACATTCCCATCCGTCCCCGCCCCCGAGGAGCGTACAATCTAAGGTCCCTAACTCACATTCATACATACACATACTAGGGCCAATTTAGACAGGAGCCAATTAACCTCCCAGCCGGGGGGGGACTGACAACTCATAGGGCCCCCGGGCAATAGGGGATCATGTGGCCTCTGTGTCCTTGCCCAAACTCAAAAAAGCCTATGAAAAAGGTACCAGGGGCATCTCATGGGGCCCCCTACTGACCCCGGGACCTCAGGCAGTGCCTGAGTTTCCAAACGATCAGTCCACCCCTGCTCCCAGCATGTCTTTGTAGTGTGGGAGAAAAATAGAGTACCTGGAGGAAACCCACGCAGGCACAGAGAGAACATGCAAACACCAGGCAGGTGGTGCCATGGTTGGGATTTGAATCAATGACCCGAGTACTGCCAGGCAGAAGTACTAACCATTTAGCCACTGTGCTGCCCATAAAATTGGGTTATAGGTTTTTTTTTGGGGGGGGAGCATGTATCGATTTTTATTGGTAACCCCTCCCACTTCTGCAGTCCTCGCCGAGGTGAGGATGACTCCCCTTGCCCTGCCTCCTCCCCTCCTGCAGCCCCCTGGGACATGTAACATGTCACAAGAGGCTGCAGGGTCATCCTCAATGCACCGACTGAGCTCGTGTGTGCGCAACCTCAGCCTTCCTCCGTATCCAAGATAGTGCTGAAGACCTGCAGTGCTAAGAAGAACCGGCTGTGGGAAGACCCTGCTGGACCCCAGGCACAGGTAAATGATTTTTTGTAAGTCAGCAGCTACAGTATTTGCTTTTTCTGAATTACAAAAAAAATCAAACTGAAGTTCCTCTTTAAAAGTATTTGCTGAAAGAAACTGTTATATCACAGAGCTGTATAGTGACAGCTCAGATTACACACACAGCTAAATGAGGAACGACTCACAAACCCCCACCCTGTCCGAACAGGGCTGTGCTCCTTCTTTCAGAGTCCCCCTTTATATCAGTGTCCCCATCAGAGACCTCTTATATATATGTCCACATCAGAGTCCTCTCATATCAGTGTCCCCATCAGAGTCCCCCCTTATATCAGTGTCCCCATCAGAGTCCCCCCTTATATCAGTGTCCCCATCTGAGTCCCCCTTTATATCAGTGTCCCCCATCAGAGTCCTCCCTTATCACTGTAATTTGACTTACAGGGTGGATATAGCTTTATAGCAGATGGGTGGGAGCCAGGAGGTGGGGCAGTTCTGGACAGAGGAAGTTCTGTCCTCCTGTGAATACTAGGGCATTCTTGTCATTGGTTACCAAGATGTATTGCAACTGGAATGGGAGGGAGGATGGTTACATTCTTCCCACTGACCACCAATGTAAGGGACATTCTTCCCCACTGACCACCAATGTAAGGGGGACATTCTTCCTACTGACCACCAATGTAAGGGACATTCTTCCCACTGACCACCAATGTAAGGGACATTCTTCCTACTGACCACCAATGTAAGGGACATTCTTCCCACTGACCACCAATGTAAGGGACATTCTTCCCACTGACCACCAATGTAAGGGACATTCTTCCCACTGACCACCAATGTAAGGGACATTCTTCTCACTGACCACCAATGTAAGGGACATTCTTCCCACTGACCACCAATGTAAGGGACATTCTTCCCACTGATCCCCCAATGTAAGGGACATTCTTCCCACTGATCACCAATGTAAGGGACATCCTTCCCACTGACCCCCAATGTAAGGGACATTCTTCCCACTGACCCCCCCAATGTAAGGGACATTCTTCCCACTGATCCCCAAATGTAAGGGACATTCTTCCACTGACCACCAATGTAAGGGACATTCTTCCCACTGACCCCCAATGTAAGGGACATTCTTCCCACTGATCACCAAGGGACATTCTTCCCACTGACCCCCAATGTAAGGGACATTCTTCCCACTGACCCCAATGTAAGGGACATTCTTCCACTGACCCCCAATGTAAGGGACATTCTTCCCACTGACCACCAATGTAAGGGACATTCTTCCCACTGACCCCCAATGTAAGGGACATTCTTCCCACTGATCCCCAATGTAAGGGACATTCCTCCCACTGACCCCCAATGTAAGGGACATTCTCCCACTGACCCCCAATGTAAGGGGGACATTCTCCCCACTGACCCCAATGTAAGGGACATTCTTCCCACTGATCCCCAATGTAAGGGACATTCTTCCCACTGACCCCCAATGTAAGGGACATTCTTCCCACTGACCCCCAATGTAAGGGACATTCTTCCCACTGACCACCAATGTAAGGGACATTCTTCCCACTGACCACCAATGTAAGGGACATTCTTCCCACTGACCAATGACCCAATGTAAGGGACATTCTTCCCACTGACCACCAATGTAAGGGACATTCTTCCCCACTGACCCCCAATGTAAGGGACATTCTTCCCACTGACCCCCAATGTAAAGGGACATTTCTCCCACTGACCACCCAATGTAAGGGACATTCTTCCCACTGACCACCAATGTAAGGGACATTCTTCCCACTGACCCCCAATGTAAGGGACATTCATTCTCCACTGATCCCCAATGTAAGGGACATTCTTCCCACTGACCCCCAATGTAAGGGGACATTCTTCCCACTGTAAGGGACATTCTTCCCACTGACAATGTAAGGGACTTTCTTCCCACTGACCCCCAATGTAAGGGACATTCTTCCACTGACCCCCAATGTAAGGGACATTCTTCCCACTGATCATGTCTTCCACTGACCACCGCACTGTAATGTAAGGGACATTCTTCCCACTGACCCCCCCAATGTAAGGGACATTCTTCCCACTGACCACCAATGTAAGGGACATTATTATTATATTCCCCACTGATCACCAATCAACTCTATGTAAGGACATTCTTCCCACTGACCACAATGGTAAGGGACATTCTTCCATATGTACTGTTCCCACCCCCCAATGTAAGGGACATTCTTCCCACTGACCCCCAATGAAGGGTCATTTCACCCACTGTCCACCAATGTAAGGGACATTTTTCCCACTGGACCAACCAATGTAAGGGACATTCTTTCTTCCCCACTGACCCCCAATGTAAGGGGACATTCTTCCCACTGACCCCCTCAATGTAAGGGACATTCTTCCCACTGACCCCCAATGTAAGTGAAGGGGGTACATTCTTCCCACTGACCACCAATGTAAGGGACATTCTTCCCACTGACCCCCAATGTAAGGGACATTCTTCCCACTGACCCCACGACAATGTACAAGGGACATTCTTCACCCACATTCGTGACCCACAATGTAAGGGACATTTCCACTGACCCCCAAATGTAAGGGTCCCACTGACAACCCCCAATGTAAGGGGACATTCAATTCCTCACTGACACACCAATGTAAGGGACATTCTTCCCACTGACAGCCCCAATGTAAGGGACATCTCTACCCCACATTCTTCCCACTGACCAATGTAAGGGACATTCTTCCCACTGACCACCAATTCTTCCCACTGACCCCCTATGTTAGGACATTCATCCCACTGGACATGTAAGGGACTTCCCACTGACCCCAAGGTAAGGGACCATTCTTCCCACTGTAATGTAAGGGACATTCTTTGCCACTGACCACCAATGTAAGGGACATTCTTCCACTGATCCACCAATGTAAGGGACATTCTTCCCTACTGACCCCCCACTAAGGGATCATCACCAATGTAAGGGACATGTCATTCTTCCCACTGACCACCAATGTAAGGGACATTCTTTGCCCACTGACCACCAATGTAAGGGACATGACCACGCAATGTAAGGGACATTCTTCCCACTGACCCCCCAATGTAAGGGACATTCTTCCACTGACACCCAATGTAAGACCCAATCACCAATGTAAGGGACATTTTCTCACTGACCCACTGACCCCACTGACAATGTAAGGGACATTCTACTACTGACCATCTCACTGTAAGGTATCTTCCCACTGACCCCCAATGTAGGGACATTGCTGTATTGTAATGACATACTGACCAATTTATTAGCAGATGTTCCCTGAGACCAGAAATACATTTTGAGGGGTTCTTCTATGTTAAAAAGTCTGAGAACGTCTGGTCCAGGGTGGTAAGTTCTATAATAGGGGTCTCCTACCCTGAGAATCCACAAGCGTCTCCCTGCCCCCGCCTGTTCTGTCTGTCACCTCCTGTCTTTCCTCTGCTTTTGAAATCTCTACTTTGCACATTAAGTTATGCAAATACGGATGATTTTCTGTGTCTAGTATGAAATCCCCGAGCCGGCTGAGCTATATATTCATATGACATCGACATTTATTAGAACTTCCTGATAATAGACCTTCTCCACAAACTGGGTAGCTAAGATTCCAGCTGCCATGCCAAAGATGTCTAAACAGAGATCATGTCTTCCTAACCTCATGTATTGGATCTTGGGTATATTTATCAACCAGCTGGAAGAAAGTCTAACACAATCGGCACCCCTACTCTACTAAGAGTCTTTGTAAACAATGTTTTACTTTTGATAAAACCCGATAGATCAAGAAAACCAAGCAAAACTTGGTAACAGGCTTTAAGGGTTGCAGGCAGTCCTGCTGTACTAGATCCAGGACCTACTGGGTCAACATGGGGGCCCAGGTTTGACTGGCAGGGGCTGCCTGTTGGTGCAGAGCCTGGATCCGCAGGGGCTGCCTGTGGGTGCAGAGACTGGGTCCGGCAGGGGCTGCCTGTGGGTGCAGAGACTGGGTCCGGCAGGGGCTGCCTGTGGGTGCAGAGACTGGGTCCGGCAGGGGCTGCCTGTGGGTGCGGAGACTGGATCCGGTAAGAGGCTGCCTGTGGGTGCAGAGACTGGGTCCGGCAGGGGCTGCCTGTGGGTGCGGAGACTGGGTCCGGTAGGGGCTGCCTGTGGGTGCGGAGACTGGATCCGGTAGAGGCTGCCTGTGGGTGCAGAGACTGGGTCCGGCAGGGGCTACCTGTGGGTGCAGAGACTGGGTCCGGCAGGGGCTGCCTGTGGGTGCAGAGACTGGGTCCGGCAGGGGCTGCCTGTGGGTGCAGAGACTGGGTCCGGCAGGGGCTACCTGTGGGTGCAGAGACTGGGGGTCCGGCAGGGGCTACCTGTGGGTGCAGAGACTGGGTCCGGCAGGGGCTGCCTGTGGGTGCCTTTTATGGCTATTGCCCATCTAAAAGCACTGCCAACTAATCCCTGGGGTTTTGGAAGACAAGTTGGCCAATCACTGCACAAAAAGGGTGTGGTTCCTAAACACATATCTGTCACTGTTGCAGTTTCCCAAACCTTCCCTTTTATTTGCTGCTGGGGGGCATCTCTGTTAAGCACAGGGGGAGATGCCTGGAGAGTTATATATAGTAGTATATTTGACATCCGAGCGGCTACGGGTACATGCGTATGCGGGTACATGCAGGTGCGGGGGTACATGCGGGTGCGGGTACGGGTACATGTGGGCGCGGGTACATGCGGGTGCGGGTACATGCGGGTGCAGGTACATGCGGGTGTGGGTACATGCGGGTGCGGGTACATGCGGGTGTGGGTTCATGCGGGTGTCCACAAGCTCCCATTGTGTGCATTCATGGTTGTGCACCCGCGCAGATGCGCTGTGTTCATTCCTGTGTGGATAAACATGGCCTTGCACAGGCATACTCTGTAGAACACCCCATGTGAAGGAGTCCTAAAACTGCAAACTTTTGACACATTGCATGTCATAGATCACGCTCTTCATCAACTGATTTATTTTTAACGTAATAATTCTTCACATGTAACAGCACCACGTCTTTACATTCTCATCTGGCAGTAACATTGTCCCTGGTGCCTCTGCCCCATGGTCCACTCCATACCTTTGGTTAGTCAGGTCCATCTTAAACTCTCAAGTCCATTTCCTGGAACCCCAACTGGGTTCCCACTGATAGCAGTGTAGAAAGCCAACCACAAAGCAGCCCGCTCACTCTTCCCAAATACAGGCCTGCTGACCTGTATTCAAGCATGCAGGCCAGGAAATGGAGAAGAGGTGAAGAGGTGCCCCCCCCAATCCAACAAAGGGGGAGGGTTAAAACACAGCGACTCCTGCCAAATGAGCAAAAAGTCCAATGTTCAGATCAACCACCCAAACAAGAAAAGTTTGGTCCAGACCAAACCTTAACCTTGACCCCAATAACTGGCAGCTGGGTGACACGGACCCTTCTCTGGAAACCACCACAGCTTCCTGAAAATGTGGGATTTCACCCTCACGTCGACTCCTTGTGACCTTGGGCAAGTCACTTTTATTTTTTTCTTCTTCATTGGAATTCATCTGCACCTAATAAAGAAAGGTAGTAATATGGAGAGACAGGGACACTGCCACATGACCACTCTGACCAATACGATTTGTTCTTCATTTATCCTGTAGCACCCTCCTAGTCCGTGCGGGTTGATGGACACATTTAGTTTAGCTCCTCTGTAATCAGTGGAGCAGGGGTTGATTGTTCTGGCCTGCTCAGTGTTACACAGGCTGCTGCTCTGATTACTTTCCCCTGTATTCTAGAGGATTCTAGAATCATAGTGGGAGGAGTTGGCAGCCTGAATATTTATGGGGAGTCCATCCAATCCCAGGGGAGGTGTGCCCAGTAGGTATGTGGAGAGCCCATTAATAGTCTGAGGCCTGAGACAGAAGGAGAGAATTTCTGGGTCCAGTCCTTCTGGAGGAGACCCCTGTGCAGGGGCTCTGCCCCTGGACCAGGAATATTGGAGGTGCCATCTACAAGACATCAAGGTCCCAGCTGGAGCTTTAGCTGAGGGCCTATTTGCAAAGCCTACACCTTGGGTCAGTCTGGGAGAAAGCTCACTGGAAAGAGCAAGGAAGAAGTTGAGGTTAGAGTTTCCAGCTGCCCTATGGTGTGGGGTCTGCCTCTCCTTCACTAAAGAATGACCGGTGGATATCGGAGAGAGGCAACCAATGATCCTGTGGCATTGTGAGTAGATGACTTAAGTACTGGAATGATTCAAGTGCTCCCATCCTGACCAGCACTTACAGCATTTGGCTCTGGACTATACCTCTAACCTGAGTAGCACCTGTATCTTTTAATTTTGGGTCACCAAAGTGCTGGAAGTTAGTGACTTGAAGATTTCATAGTCACCTTGCAGCATTGGTGATTCTGTGGGACATTTTGTGCAGCTCAGAAAGAGTCCTCAAAGAGCTCAGTTCACCAGTTTTGGGGGTGTCCCATGCTCGCTGCACCCCATCCAAGTTCACCGTTACAATGAAATCCTAAAATGATACCCCTAGACCGTTCATTTGAGCCAGATAGAGTGGAGAAATTTCTGTGTGCACTTTAACTGCGGGAAAGGAACCAAATTCACCAGCGGCTCCTTAGGAGGTGTGCTACCATCCTCAACAAATAATAGAATTTGGACCTCTTCACTTTTAAAATCTGTTAGCAAATGAGTAAATGAAATGATGTTTCCATTAGGTTAGACCTGTCACCACGGTCCTTCATGAGATGAGAAAGATATGATTTTCCTTAAACATTTCAACTTGAGGTTTCCAGTGGAACACTCTGAAACTCTTCGTTTCACCAAGAAACTCGAAATACAAGAATTAATGGCTTGGCCTTTGTGAAAATCCATAGATTAGAAAGACGCGGTGAGTAATGGAGGAAATGCGAGCTCGGAGCATGCTGGAGGTCTGGAAGGACTTTGTGAGCCGGGCTCTATCTTCTGATGCCTGGGTGGTATGTTACATTTCTCCACTCAGACAAAAAGATACATACATGCTACAAAATTTCCAGAAAAAAAAAAAAAATGATAAAGAGAGACGATGATCATTAGGCAATAGGTAAACAGACGGACTTGTGTATACACCAGGAACGGGCAGCTTTTGTCCATTTATCCATCTCTATGTAAATGATGGAAAATTCCATTCTGTGTTCATATAACTGAAGTATCGGGCAGGTTGAGAAACGACACCGACCATCATCCTTCACGCCAGCTGGCAAAACCAGAGAAGACTTCTTAGAAACTCTCACCCTAAGACTCTGTATACATGGCCGTCGTTGGATGGACGTGGAGCGGTGGAATCTTCATCCTCCTTGTCAAGAGTGATGAGCTGTTAAAGCGAGGAGCAACCTGGCACGACTCCGGAGAGCGAGCTACTGTTCCTCCTCTGTGTTCTGTCTGGGTACGGTTTACTCCAGATATATACAGTTTACTTCTCATTGTTTAGATCTGACTTGTCTTAATGCATCGTCTTTACTTCCAGGAGAAAAGCTTCAAGTTTGCTTCGCTGATCATAACACCAAAGTGAAAAATGGAATCTCCTCCGCTTGGCTGGTAAAGAAAAGAAACAAAAAAGGACTAATATTTTTCCAGAATGTATTATGCTGGCAAGGAGATCTGAGACTAAAACAACAAAAACTCAAATGGATTTTTTTATACGGTCTATAATAATAGCAAAAAAGTATATTTTATTGTCTCTCTGCCTAAAAGTGGAAAACCTCTTTAACCCCCCCGGCGGTATTCCTGAGTGTAGCTCGGGGTAAAGTTTCAGCACCACAAGCGGTAACCCCCCCTTCCCGAGCTACACTCGGGAATACCCTGCAGTGTTGCTCCGGGATCCCTTCTGCACTTACCTTGTCCTGCGCTCCCCGCGATGTCCCCCCCTGAAGCGTCCCCGGCAATGTCCTCCGTCTTCCGGGTTCCGTTCCTGCGACGTCGGGAAATTAAAAAATGTCAAAAAGTGACTGTAACGGAACCGGACCCCGACTGCACTTGGGTATTTCCGTTAGACTCCCGCTTTCCTGTCCGAACACAGATCCACGGACACCACAGCTGGCCATACAAGACGAGACAGCACCAGACTCATATTAAAACAGGAAATGGACTAC